TCTCATTTAAAATTTTTAAAGTGACTGGACATTTAAAATATTAGAGAATGGCAATGTTACTATACTATGTTCCAGTAGAGAACTTGTCTTTTAGAGATACTATCTGAAATATCTACAGAAAAAATTAAGTCTGAAACCTGCTTCAAAATAATAAGGGCAGGGGCAGGGGAGATGGCTCAGTGGAATAAGCGCTTCCCTGGCAAGCTCAAGGGCCTGAGTTCAATCCCCGGTTCTGCCAAAAACTAATAATAATAATAATAATAATAATAATAATAATAATGGCAAATGCTTCTGAAGTCATTTGGAAGCCAATATTACTTTTGGATCTAAATCAAAGACTTTACAAGAAATAGATGGATCAATATACCTTTCATTAATAAAGCTGAAAAAATAAAATACCAGCAAAATGAATCTAGCAACATGCAAGGATTATACCTTCATTCTAGGAATATAAGGTTGGCTCAACACATAAGCAAATAAATCAATCGAAATAATATACCACATTAATGGGACTAAGGATAAAAAATGAGAGGCTAAATTGGGAGTATCACAAGTTCAAGGCCAAACTGGTCAATTCTGTGAGACCTTGACTCAAAATAAAATACAAAAAAAAGGGAGGATAGGATATAGCTGTACAGAGAGCACTTACCACCGTCTACTAGAGGCCTGATTTCAATCTTTAGTAATTCATTCATTTACTCACGCCACCTCCTTCTGTCTCACTCAAATCAAGAATAGATGAATTTTTTCAACTTGACAAATGGTATCTACAAAAAAATTCCAGCTAAGGCCAGCCAAATAGCTCAGCCTGCCCTGCCAGCCCCGCCCCTGGGATGCAGTGAGATGGCAATTGAGACTGGGCATGGTGGTGCACACCTGTAATTCCAGCTCCTAAAAGGCTGTAAGCAGGTGGATCACTACGAGTCTGATCTGGTAGTGAGACCGTGAACACCCTGTAGACCCTTTCCTAAAATATAAAAAAAAAAAAAAGTTAAAAAAATTAAAAAAAAAAAATCCCAGCTAGACAGAAAGTGGCACATACCTATAACCCTAACTACCTGGGATACTGAGGCAGGAGGATCCACTTAATCCCAGGAGTTCAAGGCTAGCCTTGGCAACAAACAACACTACATCTCAAAACACACACACACGCGCGCGCGCACACACACGCACACATGAAAACAACAACAAAAAAAAACAAACAGCTAACATTACACTTAAATGGGGCAAAGGCCTTGGATTCACTCCCCAACACGGATTAAATAATCTGCTGTGTTCTTTTTCCTGTTTAAAACCTTTTTTTTTTTTTTTAAGGGCCAGCAAGATATCTCAGTAAACTACGTGCCTGCTTTGGGTTCAATACCCAAGCCTGCCAGCCCTGCCCCTGGGGCGTACTGAGCCAATGACTGAGTCCAGGAGTGGTGGCACATGACTGTAATCCCAGCACTGGGGAGGCTGAGAACAGGAGGATCACTACGAGTCCAAGCTATGTAGTGAGACCATGCACAAGATACATAAAAAATTAAAATAATAACAATAATAATAAAACCTTTATTTCATTTATAATAAAACCAAAGGCAAGGGGGCCGGTGAAATGGCTCAGTGGTCTAAAGCACCTACTTAGAACAAGCTAAGCTAAGCAAAGCACAGGGACCACGGTTCAATCCCCCAGCACCACATGCCAGCCAGTCCCGCCCCCTGGTGGGCTGAGCTGGCCACACACACACACACAAAATAAATAAATAAATATTAAATAAAAAAAAATAAAAGCCAAAGGCAAGAAACTTAGGAATAAAATTAACGAAAGCAGTATAATACTTGTGCAATGAAAAATATCTATCATAGAAAACATTAGGGAGCCGAAGAGATGGCTTAGTAGGGGGCCAGGGAGATGGTTCAGTAGAATAAGCGCTTCCATGGCAATCGCAAGGGCCTGAGTCCCAGTTCCGCCAAAAACAACAACCAAAGAAAAGAAATTCCTCCTCCACATGTATATGTCAAGTTATCCTGTGGATTTTTGACATGAGGGAGATGGCTCAGTAGAATAAATCCTTGCCTGGCAAGTTCAAGGGCCTGAGTTCAATCCCTGGTTCCACAAAAAAAAAAAAGAAAGAAAGAAAGAAAAAGAAAATATTAAATATAATCTAAATAAATAAACAGACATCTCATTAACATGCTGAAAAATGTAATGCTGTTAAGACAGCAACATTCTCCAAAATGATCTACAGATTCAGTGAAAGGCCCATTCAAATCCCATTGATATTTTTCTTGTAGAAATTAACAAGTCAAACCTAAATTTTATGAAGTGTAAATAAACCCAGCATGGCCAAAATATAGAAAAATAGGGAAATAGCAGGTATGAGACCCTCTCTCAGTTCAATCCTCTATACCAGGGAGGGAGGGGGCTAAAGGATGCAAGCATTTTTCTTTTCTTGTTATGTGTTTGGTACAGGGTCTCACTAAGCAGCTTGCAGCTCAGACTCAATAGTGTCCTGTTTTCAGCCTCCCCAGTGCTGGGATTACAGGTATGTACCACCATGCCCAGTGGCGGGCCAGCACAGCATATGGTGCCAGGGATCAAACCCTGTTTCCTGCGCTTGCCTAAGCAGGTACTTAATCCACTGACCTATCTCAGTGGCCCACACTTCTCTTTTAAAATTTACTATATATTACAGTAACCAGGACTGTGTGATATTAGCACAAGGACAGATATTTAGATCAACGAAATAGAACTATGAGTCCAGAAATAAACCCACATATTTGCGGTGAATTATTCTCTAGGGTAAAATTCAATGGAGAAAGAATTTTCCTTTCAACAATTATGCTGGGGGGCTAGGGAGATGGCTCAGTAGAATAAGCACTTGCCTGGCAAGCGCAAAGGCCTGAGTTCAATCCCTGGTTCCACAAAAAAAAAAAAAAAAGCTGGAACAACTGGATACTCACATGCAAAAGGATAAAAGTTAGACTTCTACTTTATGCTATAGAGAAAATAAAAATACCTCAAAACAGATCAAATACTTATACATAAGATCAAAGTAAGATAGGTATGGTGGCACAGGCTTGTAATTCCAGCACTCTGGGAGGCTGAAAAAACTTATAGACTTGGCAAGACCTTGTCTCAAAATTTAAAAGACAAAAAATCAGTGTGAATGACCTGGGTTCAAGTCTCAGAAACATACACACACAGAGTATAAAACTTTCAGAAGAAAATAAGAGAACGAATCTTCACATCTTAGATTTGGCTATTGTTTTGGAGCATCTCAAATCCAAAGCCAGCCTGGATTACACGGCCTGGACTACACAGTAACACCCTATCTCAATAGAAAGAAAGAAAAGGAGATGGAGAGGGAAGGAGATAGAGAAAGAGCAAGCATAACTGGTTGGTGGTGTGGTTTAATTGGGAAAGCACTTATTGAGCATGTTGCATGTGTTAGATACCCAGCAGCACAATAACAACAAGAAAAGAACACTTAGCTTCTCTCCCCAATCACATATCATGCCATCACTGTTTGTTAATCTATAGTCATGATGAGCTTCTATCTTCTTAGAACACAGTAAAGGTTTTGTTGACTCCGCATCTTTGCCTTTACAGTTTTCTCTACCTAGGATTCTCCTTCCTGTCTCATTTGACTGGTCCATTTTTTTTTATTTATTTGTTTATTTATTTATTTATTTTTGCAAAACTGGGGATTGTACTCAGGCCCTTGCACTTGCCAGGCAAGCACTTATTCTACTAAGCTATCTCCCCAGACTGGTTCATTTTCATTCTTTAGTTTTATCCTGTTCCCTCCTCAGAGCAAGTTCCTTCACTAATCTCTATCACAAAATACTATTTCATTCTCTCACCATGTTTATTGTCTAGTGAAACCTTCCTAAACCACAATAGAGCAGGAACCTTGTTTCTCACGATTGCTGCACTGATTCCCTAGTATTGAGTACACTGAAGCCACTCAATGAATCTGTTGAGCCAAACAGTTCAACGGATAAAGCACCTGCAAGCAGGTGCAGGGGCTGGGGGTTTAATCCCCAGGCCTCCCCCAGGGTGCGCAGAGACAGAAATTGAGATTGGACACGGTGGCACCCGCCTATAATCCCAGCACTTGGGAGACTGTAAACAGGAGAATCACTACAAGTGCGATCTAGTAGTGAGACCCCGAACACCCTGTAGACCCTTCCCTAAAATACAGAAAAAAATAAAAATAAATCTGTTGAATGTTAAACTAATAATCCGGGGCAGGGGAGATGGCTCAGTGGAATAAGCGCTTCCCTAGCAAGCGCAAGGGTCTAAATTCAATCCCTGGTTCTGCCAAAATAAATAAATAAACAAACAAACTAATAATCCAACACTGAACATTATTCCATTGCTGAATATTTAGTATAACAAAGGTTCACAAAGAACCTACTTTTTGCATGGTTTCAGGTAATACACACCCCTAAAATGAGAAGATAATGTTTTATGGTATACTGATAATTAAATGGGCAGATTATTTTTTTTTGGGGGGGGGGAGTAGATCATTGAGGCAGGAGACTAAGGACTGAGCCCAAGACCTTGGCACTGAGCTATGACCCTAGTACACATTTATTCATTCATTCATTTTGACAGAGTCTCTCCCTAAGTCACTAAATTGCCCAGGCTGAACTTGAACTTCCAATCCTCCTGCTTCAGCCTTCCAGAGTGTTGGAATTACAGGTGTGTACCATCAAGCCAGTAAGGGAAGTTTTTGTGTTTTGTTTTTTATTAAATCCTCCAAAAGCTGCTGAAAACAGCAAATAAACTAATTTTCCTCCATGGAAAGAATTTATTTAGAAACAGAAATAAGAGAGCTGTGATATACTCCTTTCTATAAAGGTGTATGAATAAAACAAGTGATTTCCCAGGTATTGAGACTGGCCTAACACAATTAACATTTTTAGATGTTATCAGCAAAGATAACTAGTAATGATATCTTCCACTAGTGGAGATGACTCCACAGTAGCAGGCAGAAATACGAAGGTACAAGGTTGGTTGTGTCTACAATGTGGAAAATAGCTACCATGTAGATTAAAAAATAAGGTAATGAAGTAATGAAAAAATAGTCTAAACTTTAAGTATCAAATCATGAGTTATGAAGCTACCTGTTTCAACATAGGAAAGAAGTTTAAGAGTCCTTGGATTATATCTCAAATAGAGCTACAAAAATGTAACAAAATGCTGGCTGTTATTATGAAAGCTAGGGAAACAGAACACATTATTCTATCCTTGTACAAACCAAAATGTATCTGTATCTAGAAAAGAACACCCAGCTGTAGTCCTACCACATACACAAAAAAAGAAGGTAAAATAGGGAAGGCCTAAAAAAAGGTATCTGAAAGAAAAAGGGGGGCTGGAGAGATAGTCTGGTGGTCTAAGTGCCTGCCTGGCAAGCATAAGAACCCAGGTTTGATCCCCAGTAGTGCATGCCATGCTAACCCCAAAACCAGGTGTGGTGGCACACACCTGCAATCCCAGCACTGGGAGGCTAAGACAGGAGGATCACTAGAAGTCTGAGCTGCATAGCGAGACCCTGTACCAAATAATACATAAAAGATTTTTTAAAATCAGGTGTTTATGTATGAGGACATTAAAAATACACACACACACACACACACACACACACACACACACAGATAGAAGGGCCAGCCAAATAGCTCAGTGTATTAAAGCACTTGCAAACAGGCACAGAGGCCAGCAGTTCGATCCCCGGGCCTGCCCATGCTGGCCCCAACCCTGGGGCGCACTGAGATGGTA